AATAACCAGAAAGTCTCCTCAGTATATAAACCAAAGATCAATCCAGTTGAAATAAAAAGAGTAAAGAAAACATTGCATTCTGATGTCTTCCAAAAGCTATTACAAAATTTTGACTATTGATATAATAAATTTCACTGATAATCATTACAAATTTTTTATTGAATAAATCTAGGGTGTGGTGACACGCCCTCAACAAACTGCATTCCATAATCGAGGATCGGATTGGTCAAGGAAAAATTGACGTCACTGGATCAATCCGATTGGTCGGTAATCACGTGATTGAATCGATTTGATTGGTCAGACACACGTGACCTCGTTATCGGGTGTGTCGATAAGGAGTTTGTGGTCCACCTTCTCTGTCTCTCCGCCCCTAGCTCTCCTCCCATCCCTCTCCTTTTTCTCATCCTCGCTCAGGATACCACGTTCTCAAAAGACTAGGCATTAATCATTCAAGACTAAAAATCAGATCTAACACAGCCAAGGTAGGGATTTTAACAAATTGTTACAATGGCTATGCATTTTCTTCATAGTGGGCAGTCTCGCCGCTCCTTTAGCTCTCTGCCCACGGCCGGAAAGGAAATCCGTTACTGTGGTTTTCACAACTCCTCCTCTGCCTTACCTTCTTGAAGACGAGCAAATCTTTTCCCTGCCCAAATCGGAGGGAAGGTCGTAAGGCGTTCTTGTCCTCTCCTACCAAGGTATTGTCATCCTGTTGTTAGTGTCTTGGCTAATTCTCTCTGATATAACCCAAAGCACTTGTACTTTTTGCCCAGGCGGACATTATAGCCCTTCTATCTCGCGCCCCTAGTTAGCCACATTTTGCCGTGTCCCAAACAAACGGCGGCTTTAGCTCCCGTTGTCATACAGAGACACTCCATACAGTTATTTTCAATATTCTCTGAGTTTTTATCAGAGGGTTTTAAGAAAACCGTCCCTTTGTGTCGTTTTATGGTGCATGTGACAAAAGATTGGGCATGTGGGTGGATTGTAATGTGTAGAGAGTTACATGATAAAGAGGAGGGAAGTCTTGTATTGTCATAATGCACATTATTCATAATATACACGATAATATTTACACTTGTGTAAATGTTATGTTTTTCTTTTGTCCCTAATAGAAAGAACGAATAATTACTGACACTGCTACACACAAAAGTCACAGAAATGGCTACCACGGAAGAAGCGTCAACAAGCGATGGTGTCGAGATTATCGCTACTTCTGCTCCTTCGGTTGAAGTGGCTAGCACGTTTGGATTGGAAGAGAGCATGGAGACAACTGAAACCATTGAATCCAGCAGCGCTAGCAATACTACTACTCAAGCCACTCCCACTACTCAAGTCATACCATTGACCATAAATGGTAATATTGTTCCATTTGCTTTACAGTTTACTCCTGATAAGGAGCAGGATGGATCTGCTGCTCCTGAAGTCGCCGTTGAGGATAATACGGTTGTCATACCTTCAAATACTCCTCAGATGTCGGAGGAGGTTGTCATAGCCACTCAAGCAGAGGGAGGAGATACCGGTGGTGAACGAAACGCGATACAGATCCAGCTTGGTGGGAGTGGTCAGGGGTTTTCTATCCCGGCTTCTGTGTCTAACGGGATACCTATCATTAATCTTGCTGGATTGGCCTCTAATCTTCCGATAGCTCTGCTTGCTCAACAGCTTCAAGGCTCTGGAGATGAAGGGGAAGAGCAGCCTGTTGAAAATCAGGAAGCCAGTGAAGAGTCGAAAGATAATAGTGGCAGTGTCACTCAAATACCTCTTGCCAGTCTTCAGAATTTACAGAATCTTCTTAACTTGGGCCAGGCGTCAATCAGCATTCGTCCGTCCAGTGCTCCTAACACTCCAGGGAGCCCAGGGGCTGTTCCTGTTCTTAATGTTAATGGCCAGCAGTTCCCATTGTTTTATACTCCTCCTGCAACTCGTCAGCAAACCAAGCGCTCAAATTGCACCTGCCCCAACTGCGTTGAGATACAGAAGACCGGTGAGAGGCCTAAACGTCGCACTCACGTCTGCCATTACTCCAACTGTGGGAAGGTTTATGGGAAGACTTCGCATCTTAAGGCACACCTTCGCACTCACACTGGAGAGAAGCCATACGTTTGCACTTGGCCTCTTTGTGACAGGAAGTTTACTCGTTCTGATGAGCTTCACCGCCATTTGAAGACGCATACCGGAGAAAAGAATTTCCAGTGCAAATATTGCGAAAAGAAGTTCATGCGTAGCGATCACTTAGCAAAGCACACCAAGATTCATTTTAAGAATTCCCCTCAGAAGCTAAGCACTGATCCAGCAACTGTGGCTGTTACTATATCTGCTCTACAAGATCAACAACCGTCTACAGTTGAACAACCCATTCAACCAATGTCCCATCTTCACAGTCTCTCGCCCAGTGTTACCATTAATAGCGAGCTTAATACCGTCGTTCAGAATGTTGCCTCTTCTATTGCTGAGGGAATATCTCATGCTGAGCTCACTGCTGCCAGTGAGACTCTTGCTCAGCTAGCTCAAGGAGCTGTTAATGTTGCAGCTGAGCTTACCGTAACACAGACCTATCAGTCCGATGCTGCTGTTCAGGAAACCCTTGCTGCTACCAACGGGCAAGAGATTGTCGTTCCACAACAGTTTCTGGAGACTACAACAGATCCTACAGCTCCAACTGTTACGCAGACCTATCAGTCTGATGCTGCTGTCCAGGAAACTTTGGCAGCTGCTAATGAGCAAGAAATTGTTGTGGCACAGCAATTTCTTGAGGCCCCCTCTGAGGGCCCCCCTGATCCTCAACATCAGGAGACTCAAGAGCAAGTCGTGGCTCAGCCCACAACTGCCGAAGATGTTCAAGGATTGCTCTCTGAACTATCTCAGCAGAGTGAAGTCCCTGGCGCCTTGATACAGAATACCGAAGTAGTTCAGTGAGACTTCACAAACGATTATTGCACAAACATTACTTCTCTCTCCTTTGAAAGTACATTAAAGCATACACTGTGCCAGATAAAATTTCCTTTATTTTAGAAGTAGAAATCAATACAGTACATGGTACTACATTATTATTGTTGTTGTTAAAATACTGTTATTTCTTGTCACTTTCTTAGTTTCATTCAGCATCATTTTTTTCTCAGGTTTTTTCCTTTTGTTCCTTTTAGATATCTTTGTTGACTAAAACTGCTACTGTACTTTAAATATAATGTATTGTAAATTCTATATCAAAAGTATTGTTTTTGTTAACATACTTTTAAAGATACAGATTAAAAATTATTTTTAAAGAGTGCCAATTATTATCATGCAAGTATGAAAAGGGAGGAGCGATTAGTTAACTATTTATAATAAAATGGCTTCCTCAAGCGGGAGGTGGAGAATTGAGAGAACACGTTTTCAAGCTAGTCGCACTGCACATCAGTTCTGAGCACCACTTAACTTCCAGACACTTACTATCCAGCCAGCCAGAACGAGATGGCAATGACTGCTATAGCCAAGACGGACTACTACGTACCGCAGGCCAGACAACAGCTCGGGACCCACCAGCCTACTCAACGTACTACAGTTATGGTAAGTGTCTTTTGCAAACAAGGAGAGAAACCCAAGTCCCTCCTTTATACTATAACGACCTCCCATGAGTTGTCTTTTTCTCTTTTCCCCTCTTAATAAATGCAGATACAGCAACAGCCAGCAAATTCTTTAGAGCTGCTAGCAGCTACAGCAACGTGCGGCCGGTACCAGGAGAATCCAGCTAACCATTATCCAGGACCACGAGTAGTACCCCATCATGTCCCTGCTGTCGGTAGCTCTACCAACGGGATAGCTAACAGCACACCAATACCTGGGATCACTTTGAATGAGAGGCTACATAAGCTGGGCTCGTTTAGCCCCTCGCACTCGGTGAGTCACCAACAGCAGCACCAGACCCCTCCATTGGGCCAACACCAGCAGCAGCAGCAGGCTAGCGAGACCATCTCCTCACCAGCACTGCATATGACTGAGATTGCTGTACACCAGCAAGTATCTGGTGGACCACAGACAATACAAAACGGAGCCTTCCACATTCAGCACGTTGCCGCTCCTAGCTCGAGCTCCAATGGAGGACATATTGGACCACCACCAAGCTATGTTCAATCATCTGAAGTGAGTTCTCTAAAGCCACCAGCAGGGAATGGGTACCCCTTCCCTTCACCACCATACTCTGCTCACTTTAACACTAATTTTAAAAGTGTTTTCTGCTCAGAAAGCAACACTAGTAATCTCTCGTCTCACTCTATATCAGCGTCCAGCTTCACTCCAACATTCTCTGTATCAAATACACTCCTGGAGCCCCCAAAAGCATACATGGACCATCATCATCACCACCACCATCACCACATTGGCAGTAACCAGCCTGCTTTTTCTAACTTCTTTCCTAAGCCAGAGCCAACTTCACCTGGCTCTTGTCTTCACGCTATTCCAGTCTCCACTTCTTCCTGGTGGTCTGCTGCTGCAGCCTCTGCCGCTAGTAACAATCGTCCCACTGGGGGCGCACCCTGGTCTGCTCCCCCTCTCCAGTCAGCCCAGTCTGCTTTCACTTACACCAATGGCTCTGCCAGCTTTACTCCTCTCTCCCCCCTCTCCCCTCTCTCTCCAATGTCAGCCCCTGGCAATAGTCAGCCCATACCTCTTTATGCTACATCAGTTGCTTCAGAGACCCAGCAGTTGACCCATGAGACCTTACGCTGGCCTAATGCCGCCATTACTTATTACGACTCTGCACCATCTCAGCCGAGACGATTGAGGCGTGTAGCCTGTACTTGTCCCAATTGTGTGAATGGGATCAATACCAAAGCAGTTAATCCTGATGGGACTCCTAAGAAGAAGCAACATGTTTGTCACTATCCTGGATGCAGTAAAGTTTATGGGAAGACGTCTCATCTTCGGGCTCACCTCCGCTGGCATACCGGAGAGCGTCCGTTTGTCTGCAATTGGTTGTTTTGTGGGAAGAGGTTCACTCGCTCCGATGAGCTCCAAAGACACTTACGTACCCACACTGGAGAGAAGAGGTTTGTGTGCCCCGAGTGTGGCAAGCGCTTCATGAGGAGTGACCACCTTAGCAAACACATCAAGACCCACCAGAAGATACGCGAGAAAGCAAAGGGAGCAGGAGGTGAAGGAGGAACTACCCCACCATTATCGCCCACGTCTACAGAGAGTAGGGACATTGACACTCCGACCTCATCGACCATATGCTCACCTCCTCCAGTCCACGAAGAGATAGTGACAGTGAGTAATACTGATGACATGCAACTCATTGTTGGTGGGTATAGCACAGCTCCCCAGCAGCAGCAACCAACGGATATGCTCCCTCCTCCACCGATACAGTTCCGACCTCCTCCAGTCTCCATTCATTATCATCACATACCACCACCTCCATTGATGTTACCTCCAGCTCTTGGAGGAGGCAATGAAACGTTATGCTCTTAAAGCAACTGCCGGCCAAACTATCTACCCATTGAGTAAGTTACTTTTTTTCTAAGAAAATTTTCTTACATTTCCACGCATTTCACTTATAGTAATTATAATGTTTTATAATTATGGTTACTTGGTTAATTTTTGTCAGGTTAATGAATTTATACTCAAAAATCTTTTGGTTTCTTTTATTTTTATGATTTACTGGTAGACTGTTCAATTCATCACTTGATCATTATCTTTATTTTTTTTCCAATCATTCCCTTCCCTTTTTTTTCTGATTCGATTAATAATTATTATTTTTGACACACAGGTAATAATAATAATATTATTATTATTTAATATCAATTGATATTTTTTTAATTAATAAAAATGACAAAATTAATTAATACTGAGAATCATTTTTTCTTGCCAGCAGTCAGTCCAGCACCAGCATTGAATTTAAATAAAATAATATCGCCATCCTCAACAATATAATTCCGTCCTTGCTGCCTGTACTTTCCAGCAGCCTAAGAAAAGAAAATGATTTAAACATTAATTCGTATAAGATCAGACTCTGATATGCATAGAAACACACAAGGGGACCTAACTATAAACTCAAACAAACAGACACACAACAAGGGTGCACCATTCAAGAGAGCAGTCACAGGGCTTCCTGGACTATAAAGAGCAATGGCAGTGTTGATTAATGAATTAACAAAAGATAGAAGCCAGACTGAATGTATACAGAGGGAGAGAGGCATATGTAATCTCTCTCTGCCAGGATGGAGCTAGAACTATAGCTCAAGGAGGAGGGATGGAGGGTCAAAGAACAGCTGATGGGGTGGGAATGGGGCCAGACAGTGTACATGGAGCAGATATACACATTCAAACAGAGACACACACACAGAGCATATAAAAATCAGCTGAGAGAGGGAGGAGGGAGGGACTGTGATTAGGAGACAGAAACTGGATACCTGTTATCACTCGTTGTAATATGTTCAAATTCTCACCTACTGAAACTTAGCAAGTGAGAGAGAGTACAGAGTGTGTGTAGTGGAGTGAGGTGAGCAGTGATGCACATCACATTAAACTGATCACATGCCTTAATTGCTTGTACTAACATGTGTTCAGGGTCACTTAACAGGCTGCAGTATACCTGACAACAAACCCTTAGGAATGAGGGGACTACATTACTAGACTACACGTGAAATGGGATAAACTCTATAGCATGAGCTACAGAATAATAATTATATAGACAGAAGCTCAAATCTCTCAAAAACATGATTTGAATGAGAAGCGGATTTGAATGACGAACACGTATTACAATAACAAGATAGATCTGAATTTAAACTAAAGAAAAAGGGACTCATATTTCAGGTAGGCAAAGCCTTGATATTATCAGTAGGTGCTTGAACAATGGCTATCCTGATAAGAGAACAAACGTATGAGGTGAATATATTCATAGTGGATCAGATTTCAATAAAACCAAGTTTTAAAAGTATAAGGCAGTACAGCCTAAGGTGAGAGAGAGAGGGTGAGAGAGAGAGAGCTAGCTAATATATATTAATCATGATTAAACTAGTGATGTGAATTCATAATCTAATTGCTTATAAACCACATCAGAGACCTGTAAATTGATGTCAGTCTCAGACTTTGCAAATGTTGTCATGATGGGCAAATAAGTGTTAAACAGATGTAAGGCATAATTATTACTTGATATCCAATTACAACTCTAGGCAGATTATGCATATACTAAGGCTCTAATATTATATTTAATAGGTACTACCAAACACTACAGAAAGGTCAGGCTTGACTGGTTCCCAGCCACGAATGGCTTCACTGAACCCACAAAAATCCATATAGCAAACATGTGGCCAGTCAAAGGAATTCAATATAGAAATAAGTTAACTGTTTCCTGCTAACTCAAAATAGTAGTATTTAGTTTACCTTCACAGCACTCTCTGATCCAAGTTCCTTGTAATCTTCATACTTCATTACCTAATAAAACAGAGGGACTAACCCACACTACACTACAGTGTACTAACCTCTGCCATAATAAAACCTTTCTCAAAGTCAGTGTGTATTCTTCCAGCAGCCTGAGGTGCCTTGGTACCTTTCTGATAACAAGAAATGACATAAGGAGAAGTTCAGGAGAGCCAGTGATGGCTTGAGTATGATATCAACACAAGGTACCTGTACTGTCCATGCACGGACTTCATCAGGGCCAGATGTGAAGAAATATTGAAGATTGAGTGCCTTGTATCCATTAACTATAATCTTGGGCAGGGAGCTATAAAAACAAAAGTTATTATTTGATTATTATCATTTTCATTATGTAGAGGCATGAGGAACCGAAATTGAAAATAAACTGAAATGAGTAGTAGACCTTCACCACACTGTGTACACTAGACACAAAGCAAGACTCACCTTGTGACTTTATTTTCAGTGCAATATCTAGCAGCTTCATCTTCAGGCATATCAAGCAACTTAGCATCAACGAGGAAACAGAAGATGAAGGAAAAAGAGAGAGAGAGGGGAGAAAGAGAGAGAACGAATTTAAATGGAACGATGAGAGGAAAAAGAGAAGGTGCGAGGAACAGATTCTCGCTTTTAAAAGTATAACAAACTGACCTTCTGTTCAAAGACTCCGCTAAAGGGAATAACAATAGCACCAGCATCATGAGCATCAATCCATTCCTTAATGTCCTTCAACCTATGATACATACAAGCACACAGGCATATAGGGACATATCAAGCATCAATCAACACATATTGAAATTAGGATGCTAAACACCAACAAAATAAAAGACAGATGGTGTGGTCAGTCCTGTTGAATGGCCCCTTTATAGACCCACCATTTGTTCTTCTTTCTAGTGTAGTCCTTCTCAGATAAGTTGATAAGATAGACTACTGGCTTTGCTGTGAGAAACAGGTGCTTGTTAAGCAATTCAATCTATCAAGTGAAATGAATATGAGAGATAGTGACATAATGAGGGGAGACATACATCAGCTGCATTCCATGTACCAAATCTAACACTTTTCTTGTCATCCACTAGTAATGATTGAACCTTACACAATAGGTCCTACACAAAATAACATCATTGATTATATCAGCCAGTCCGACTATCTTTCTCTCTCATTTCCATACACCAAATACATTTAATCTTAAACGAACGATAACTCCATTTAAATGCTGCTGATTAACAACCATAATCTCATAAATCCTAATATATTAAACTTTTAGCAAATCAGTTACATGTATTGCCCTTAGCTCCCTAGGTTGCAATACACTACAATATTCCTTCAATAAAAATACAATCAATTTAAAACCCTCAATCTATAAAATTCCCATCTCTCTAAACGTACATATTCTGGCTTCTTGCTTTTATCTCCTCCTCTGACGGCTACCTTTTCCAGCTGACTCTATCATATGAATTGAAACATAATAATAATAATAATAATGCTATTGAAAAGTGTCTACTCTTGACTCCATGGAACTTGGAAAAAATTAAAAACTTGTGCTCTTATTGATTTTAAAAAATCCAAGTTTTCAAGTCAGTGAGATTGGTGCATGCTTATGTCAAGTGGTTTGGGGCTTACGATTCTCTGAGAAACAAATTGTTCATCTTTTAGTCTCAGCTCTTGACTGATGGTCTCAAGGTCACGGACAGGATTAATGTCGCCATCAACATGTGTCACATCCTCATCATCAAAGCATCCTACACAGGATATGAAAAAAATACACAATATACATTATCATTGTACAAGATTTTCCACAGGATTTTGGCATAGTGCTCAAGCAGTGGATTGTAAGACCCTGTATTATACACAGTACATGGTATTTTGAGAAAAATCGCAAGAAAAGAGTTGTCCATTTTTATAATTTTTTTCTGATACGTATACATGTTCTTACATTGTATAGAAAATTTGAGCTGATTCCAATCAAATTTGAACGTTTTATAAATTTTTAAAGTTGCTAAAAAAATCAGGCCATTGGCCAAATTTCATCAAAAATGGCTGGGAGAGAATTCTCTATTTTTATATTTTTCTGATATGTTCCACAAAAATGATTCCAATCAAAATTAAATTTTTATAAATTTTTTGAATTTGCTCCAAATGCCATGTATGAGGCCTGCTTATCAGCTCATGTTTAAAATAATTGAAATCATTTTATATCACAAATGGCAAATATTGCTACAAATATGTAGCATTAAAATTAATGGAGTTATTTTTCAATTACAAGTGACACGTAAATCACACTTACTTATGCAGTGGAAAATAGCATCGCAAGCACTTATGTGAGACAAGAATGCATTACCCAGCCCCTGACAGAAAAAAAAACAAAAAAATAGTAAATAATAATAATAATAATAATAAATAATAATAATAATAATAACAATATAAAAATGATTTATTGCACCTGTCCTTCGTGAGCACCTCTAACTAAACCAGCAATATCAACAACGTGTAGAAACGCAGGGACCTTACTAGCCGGCTTGAAACTCTCGCACAAATGATTGAATCTCTCATCAGGTACAGCTACACGACCTAGAGCAATTGATACAGATGAGTACTTATAATGTGTACGTATACAATGTACATGTACGTTTTAATCACATGTAATATTAGTAATACACACACTTACATACTTTCATTAGGGTCAATGGTACAAAATGGGAAGTTCTCAGCAGGTGCACCACTTTTTGTTAATACATTAAAGAAAGTCGATTTCCTGCCAGAGAGACAGAGACCAGGATATTAGATAACTTAAATCATTAAAACAAAGATTTGGTCATACATGGAATTACAATGGGGGAATTAATGCTTATTATCAACCTTAGACATGTTTACTACTGAAGACTATAAAAGACACTTATGCTATTGGGTAAGAACACGTGTCCTGGCAACCACATGACAATAAATAAATATATATATATATATATATATTATAAGATATGAAGTATAACCGTTTATTGCAATTATTACAGTGAGCTAACTACTCATTATTATTATTATCCAAACTATAGTTACTATGCTATGGTGAGAGAAGAATTGGTCTATCAAAGCATTCCTGATGATTATAAAGTGATAACAATAATCTAATAAAAGCAAGGAGCCCTGTACTTTGGAAGCAGAGATTTTTATAGTAACAGCTACAGCTACATGTACATGTATGTGACTGGGTTACAGATCATTAGATATGAACACACTAGAGTAGAAGGAGCATCTAAGTGTGTAATGACACTTAAGATAAGTGTTTAAGTGCAGCTACTTCAAGTTAAGTATGTGGTTATACCACATATGAAGTATCACTAGATTAATTATTATAAGGTGTCAAAAACATTATAAAAGCAATGCTGCTGTACAGGTACATCCCAAAATAACTCTTAATAGGAGAATGGGCTAATAAATAATTAGTGATACTTCAAGACATAGCAAAGGAAACCACACAGGCCGGCCCAGACGGCTATGAATATAATTACACAAGAACAACAGCTCCAGAGAGAACCATATAAAGTATGGAACAGACCAGAGAAGGAGAGGGAAAGAGAGGCAGATATTACCAGTAGGTATGACTGTCTCAGAAACGAGGAATTCACATACAATACTCATCAGCTGATGAAATAATCATCAAAAATAATGTGATCATCATTGACAGTGACATACATGTAAAGGACAGAAATTCTTTGAAACTTAAGGAGAGTGTCATAGTTCAGAGGATAATGAGATCCACACCACAGATACTATCACTGTGTCCACATGTACATGTTAAAAATATGCCATTTTGTATATACACAAGTATTCAAAATTCGCTAGTGCTTTTAAGCATATGGTTTTGGGCCTTCAAAAATGATCAGACAAGTTTTAAACATACATGAGAAATTTTGACAATATATGTACATGTAAAGATGAAGTACGTGTAAATATGTTAAGTAGTATATTAAAAGAGATAATGATGTAGAGAGATACATGTCAGTTGTATTTAATAATAATATTGAGTATGAAAAGACACAAGTATTGATGGAGGTGGTTTTCACTATGAAGAGTGCCGGCTTATCTTAGAACAGAGTACAGTATAGTAGTGTCACAGGGGAATAAAGTGGACAATACTGGTTGCTGAACCCATTCATGCTGTGGTTTATGACTAAAGATGTATATGCCTATGTATGATATTATGAAGGTCAAATTACCTACACATGTGATGTAAAGGTCAAGCTCCACCAACTCACTGAGGGGGTTGACTAATGAAGGCATGAAGTACACGCAATTCAAGCAACAAAAATGACATTTCATTATTAAATGGATGTATCCATTTTTAGAAAACTTTAAAAAAGTAAAAAAATTATCAAGACAAGTTCATCAATTACATTTAAGCATACTAAATTTAACCTCGCTATAAAAAATCAATAATAAAAAATAGCTTAGAAGTTTGACCAAATCTGGGTCCCTCTCTTCGATCTAGTATCAATGAAATCATTAAACCTCTTCTGTGGTTTGACAACATATCAAGGTTTCCCACAGGACTTTAGCATAGTGCTCATGCAGCTTCTTGTCAGTGGATTGTTAAAGTTCTTGGCCAAATTTCACCAAAAATGGCTAGGGAAAAAACCTCCATTTTTATAATTTTTTCTAATACATATACAATGTACATGTACTTACACACCGTATGTTGTGTAGAAAGTTTGAGCAGACTCTGATTAAATTTTTAAAGTTGCTCCAAATGCAGATACATGTACACACACATATACATGCACATGCTGTTTTGTGGAAAGCCCTAGCTGTGACAAATGGCTACAAAAAATTTTTAGTCAGACACATAACAATGTGCTACATATTGTAGAGAAAGCTTAAGTGAATTCTGAATACATACATGTGGCCTCAAATTAAAATTGAGATAAAAATAAATAAAATTTATGAAATAATGATGAAATTGGTTATATCAAGGACACCACTCATTCTTTTTAATACTTATAACTAGAGTTGTACCAATATGGGTTTTTCTAAATACCAATTTTTATAAAAATAATTAATCAGCCGATATTATAACCAATATTGATATAAATTCAATTAAAATTTTTTTTATTAAAAAAATCATCATTAGCAATCATTACATCAAAAAAGTGTAGTTATTTTTAATGCTATAACCATTAAAATAGCAAAAGTTGACACATTGCTTGACTGTCTCAGAAACGAGGAATTCACATACAATACTCATCAGCTGATGAAATAATCATCAAAAATTATAATGTGATCATCACTGACAGTGAAATAAACCAACAATGCAAATGAATACAATACATGCTGATAAACACATGTACATGTAACATGGTGAGAATTAGAATCAGCAAAAGTTCTCTCCTAAACATTTTTTGATAAAAATTTTTTTTGCACTTAGTAACCAGGTTTTGGAGTGAGGATTGAGGACATTTGCTTTACCATTTCAGTAGTGTCACAAAATTAAGCTGCATGCCCACCAATAATTGTATTTATTATTATAATTTTGATGCATTAAGATTTTTCAACTACTAGTATTAATTTTATGATTACTATTACTAATGCTTCATATTGTAATGTACCAAAATAATCATTATGTATAAGAAATTTAAGTACACAGAAGCATAAACAATGAAAAACAAATGAACCACTGATCAATTGAAGGAGTAAAGTGCTGCTGTAAAGAAGTATGTCACACACATACACACACTTAATTAATAATGATTGACCACTCCCCTCATTCTTAAAGAGTATAAAGAAGGAATATGAAGGTAAGTAGTTTATATGACACATAATCATGTTAAAACTCTCATCATGTCCTTACCCCACATTAGGCAGACCGACTATCCCAACCTTTAACGAGGTGCCGACTCTTCCCAGCAATGGAGGAGGACCCTCGGCCGCTGCCCCTTTACTCTTCTTACTCATCGCGACTGACTTTTTATAACAGAGCCCAGGACCAGAATGGAATAAAACAACTGCTAAACGAGGACTTTTAGTAAAGAGATTGGTCGAATAAAAAAACCATAACATGAAAAATAAAAGGACAGCGACACGTGGTTAAGGTGATTAATATTCATAACTCACTCCACCCGTTGTCATAGTTACAGTATTGCTTAGCAAGAGCAATAATGGAGGTAAGTGTGTATTATAGGTTCTTGCTGGTTTGATGAGTTTATTCCTAAAGGTTGGGACCAGGGGCTATAACAAGAAAGGAGAAGATCCTTTAAGATGGCTGCCTTCTCTACCTCAAGTAAGACTGGAAGGCTATACTGTATATGCATGTAAATGTAATGTATAAACTTTTGTTATTTATGATTGCAGAAACGCACTAAACCTGACTGGCAAGATGTCTCCCCTGAATTTAAACTGTTTCCTGGAGTCACTAAAGAAATGATTGGAGCAGAGCAAAGGCCACACACTAACACAGTCAGTGGTTTGCCCTCACTCTTAAGACCACCAGCTAACAAAGGAAGACAGCTTGGTATGTACATGTACATATCCTTTATGAATATCATGTACTTGTACATAAACTCAAAGCCCCCATGTTAGCTTTTTGAAAACAAAATTTATCCTTTACTTGCTACATGTAGTACATTAGTCTCGCCCCGCCTAGTAGTACATGTACTTTTGTAATTTTTATTGAGATATACCGTAGGCCACATGCAGGTTTTTCCACAAAGTGAGCTAAACACATGAGCTGACTAGCACTGCAATAGTTGGAACAGGATCAAAAATTTGTAAAAAAATCCAAATCTATTCAGAATTCACTCAAACTTGCTACACAACATAAGTACACGTATATGCATCAGGAAAAATTGTAAAAATGAAGAATTCTCAAATTTTCATTTTTGGCAAAATTTGGCCGAAAACCCTGTACTATAGTGCAGGGACTTTTGCCTGATTTTTGAGCAATTTTGAAAATTCATTAAAAAATCTAAATTTGATTGGAATCTGCTCAAACTTGCTACACAACATAAGTACATGTATATGCATCAGAAAATGTAATAAAAAAAGAGAATTCTCTCCTAGTCATTTTTGGCAAAATTTGGCCAATGACCCTGTACTATAGTACAGGGACTTTGGCCTGATTTTGGAGCAACTTTAAAAATTCGTAAAAAATCTAATTTTGATCGGAATCAACTCAAACTTTCTACACAACATAAGTACATGTATATGCATCAGAAAATGTGATTAAAAAAGAGAATTCTCTCCTAGTCATTTTTGGCAAAATTTGGCCAATGACCCTGTACTATATAGTACAGGGACTTTGGCCCAATTTTGGAGCAACTTTAAAAATTCGTAAAAAATCTAATTTTGATCAGAATCAACTCAAACCTTCTACACAACATAAGTACATGTACTGTATATGCATCAGACAAAATTATTAAAATGAAGAATTCTCACCTAATCATTTTTAACAAAATATGTGTTGTATCATTTGCAGGGCTATGATCAGATTTTTTACTTTTTTGGCAACCTTAAAAATTCATCAAAATCAGAAATACATGTCAACAATGTACATGTACATGTGTCTCAAAATTTATATGCAACAAGATCATGCATAGACATGTACATCAGAATGCTTTGCTTTGCAAATGCTTTATGTATGTGTAATTAATCATTAAGAATATTGAAATTAAATACTGTACATGCTATAATATTACACTTGTGGATAAGTAATTCATGTAACAATGAAGTATTTCTGATAAATGTTATCATTATTATTATTATTATTATTATTATTATTATTATTGTATTAAAAAAAGAATTAAATACACAATTTAATTACTAAATAATTTGCTATCATGTTATGTTACATCAATAATTAATTTTATAGCTTCAAGGCATTCGAGGAGTCGTTCATGGGATCCTAACAGGCCAGGACCATCATCAACCAAGCACCCTCAGGCACTGCCTTCTCATCAACCATCACCACTACCGGCCACACACAAGAGGAGAGAAGACTTCAGACATGCTCTAGTCAAAATGATCATGTAAGAGGAGAAAGAAGGAGACAGTGACATATATTATTAGTTGTTAAATAGTGATTTTTGTTATTGTTATTATTATTATTATTATTATTATTATTATTATTATTATTGTTATTGTTATTATTATAACCGTAAGAATTAGAATTAAGAGGGAGAGAGAGACAAGATGAGGAAAAGGGGAAGAAACCCATAATAATAATAATAATTATTATTATTATTTTGTTAATTTTACTATGTCTATATTGTTGTTATAAATTTATAAAAAATGATTTTATTACCTGATAGGAATTATCCAGCTGAGGAAGAGGAAACTGCTGATGGTGATTTGTCAGCAAATGAAAAAGACACACTGGTAAGATGAGCCATACATAATTTTTCTCATTAAAAATAATCCTCCATTTCCTTCTCTTTTAGCGTTATCTCTATTACATTCAAAGAGGGATTGATACTGAACATGTTGCTCCAATGGAAGACTCGTGGCTCGAGCATGTCATGTCATTACTTCATCAGAAGCTAAGAGTATGTCCTGTACTAATACATGTACATGTACTGTACTAATACATGTACATGTACTGTACTAATACATGTACATGTCCTATACTAATACATGTACATGTCCTGTACTAATACATGTACATGTACACTGACCATACTGACCTATATTAACAGACATCTCCAAGACTAGCTTCACTGCTGGAGAAGTTATGCGATGAAATGAGAGATGACTATTTACTTGGAGTCAAAAAATCAATTGGTATGATTAATGACACTCATGCTAGCATTCAATGACTTAATTTCGTTTGCAGTTGATTTTGTACTAAGAGATCCTCATCAGGTTGAAGTAAAACGCTCTTCTAGTACAAAACAACTCCCACACAGACAAGAGTAAGTGATTCATGTACATGTACATGTACATGTATGTATTATTATTTTTGTTTTTTTGTTTTTTGTTGTTGTACTGTAGATTGGATGTTGTTCCAAAGCCGTGGAATAAAAGTGTTGTGCAAGCATACGAATCAATCTCAGTCAAACTCTTTGTTACTAATCCTGTACTGACTCAAGTCCTCAATGACTGGTACAGGGATCTAAGGTAAGCTTAATAGTACACTCATGTACATGTAAAACTAATGTATCAAATTCTTTTACCTACATGTACATGTACATTTACTGTATAGCGGGAAATTTTGGATGGAGTTAAATTTGGCAAATTTAGCATTTTGATAGGCATTCACCAAAATAAAATCTGGCCATTTTGAGCCATTATGCGCATGCTCAATGGGACATGGCCACTAATCATTTGCAAAATAAAAATCCACCAATCACTAAAATTTAGCAATTTGACAAATTTAACTCCCTCCAAAATTTCCCCCTATACGGTACATGTACTCTACATGATTATTTCTTATCACGCAGTAAAGAGAGGTTGATTCATAAGGAAACATTATTTGGCCATCCTGAGCCAATGGAACTCAATGTGTTCCAGTCACTAGTCACTAAAGACTTGGAGACAACTAAACACATTCTCCACAAAAAGTAACTCCATTAATATTCTATTTTAATGATTAGAATAATTATTAATTTACTATTGAATGATGATTAACTTGTATGTATGTACATGTATCATTGTTTAGATGGTTTCCTGAAGTTCAGAATATATTTTACAATGGTAACAAACGTAAGCAGGTTCCTTTTGCTCATCTTGATGCATACTTTGAGAGTGGAGCTGTACTGATGACTAATCTACTCCGTGAGCTAACTCTGGACAGCATTACTGAATATGAAGGAATCTTTTGTTCTAAACCAGTATGATACATAATTATGATAATGATCATCAGCCTACAGTCTAGTGATTACTGGGACTTATAATTTTTTTCTGTTTTAGAAATTAGTTGGTTACTTTCCTGGTTTTATTATAAGTGCAGTCATTAATGGGACTAGGTTGGAGTTTGAGCCTTCAGTTGGTGGTTTTGAGGTAAACCTATTTTATATTATACATGTAATTAATTATTATCATGCTTTTGTGTAGGTTGTGGTACTGAATGCATTTGACAAGATTGTAGAAATTGGTTCTTCTCTACCACGTGTTGAGTCTAAGCTTTATCCCAGTGAGGTGGGTACCTTGTACTTGTAAACTGTAGATTTAATTACTTTCTTGTCTTTATTGTCTATTCATAGAGTGCTTATGCTGCAAGGCCTAATCTTCATCCTTATGTTGATCCTAATGCACTGAAAGAAGCTAAAAAGAAGGTAAGCACTACACTCTGTATGCTTAATCAAAAAATGTTATTTAATTTTATTAATAAATTTTAACATTACATGTACATGTATATAATTATGGCTTATTATTATTGTTGTTGTTGTTGTTGTTGTTGTTGTTGTTATTATTATTATTATTATTATTATTATTATTTTCAGGTAGCACAAGTTATACAAGATAGTATGCAGAAGCCAAAGGATCACGTGCTCTTGTTTGAAAAATTCAATCCATTAATCTCCAGACAGGTTTGTATCATAGCCTAGCTTATTCTCCATTATTGATTGGTTTGGTGGATCACATAGGCTGAGGAAGACATTAAGCAGTTCCTCAGTGAAGAGCACAGCTTCTTAGAGTATGAGCAGTTGGTGATGCAGTATGAGAATATTATCAAGGAATTACAATATGACATTGGAAAGGTATTTTAAACTAACCTATGCATAATTGATGTTTTAGCCGCTAATGAGGGTTCCAAATAGCATGGAGCCCGCTAGTCTCGTGCAATAATAACACATTGTCACTATCATAACAATAGCCACGTACACACAATGCATAACTAGTTTAAGGCCTCGTTTACACGCCTCGTTTACACGATGCGCTAGCCTAATCTGCATCGTTTTTGCTATTACTGTTTTCAGGTGTTCACACTAATCCAGCAGCTGCGTTTTCATTGGACTTTATCATTTGTTTATAGACTTATCCGTATCCG